TAGAAATCTGCTCCTCAGTATCCTAAATTCCACCATTTGATGATTGCAAATGCGACTGCAACATTCAAGGATACTAGCAGTTAGAAAAATGACTAAACTTATAGTTTCGCGATTTTGATGAGAATGTACAGTGACAGGTAAACTGCAGCTACCTGAACCGGTGGCAACTAAGCCAGACACCCAACATGTCCATTGCTGCGATATGAGAGTCAATCCGTCCTTTGAGAAAATATTCTTGAGGGATAAAATCATGCGCTATGAAAAACAAAGACTTCAGAAGATGAAGATGCGATCACTGGAACAAGAAATTTATTTGCCTGAAGTTTCGGATTCTCACTCGAATCCATCATCAGAGACATTCGCAGATAAAGGAGATGGTCGCATCAGGACTGCAGTATTTATAGCACATGACTGTCGTTGGACCGTATGCGCACTGCAATTAACAGTTCTTGCAATCATCGCTGGGGTCGTAATTGATACGGTGATGGCTCAACGCCCAACTGCTGCTGCGTGTTCGGCAAGTCGCGTACGGAGTAATCTCCCAGTTTCTCCGACTTAGTTGCTTCGCCCGCAACTACACCAGATCCGGTAAACGAATCCAGACGTTTCCTGCCGTGCCTGTGGGTCCTTTGGCCTCATGAATTGACGTCTAATGGTTGCTTCTGGCCTGCGTGCAACCCTAACTCCAAGTGGAGTGAGAAGACGAATGACGGCTTCTGAGACCTTCGTCACGTACGGAAGAGCCCGCCAAAATTTGGGGCTTGGAGTTGGGGTTTCACACAGGCCGGAAGCAACCATTAGGCGCCAAGTAATGAGGCCAAAAGACCCTTTGCCACGGCAGGAAACTTCTGGAGTCGTTTACCGGATCTGGTGTAGTTGCGGACAAAGCAATTATGTCGGAGAAACTGGGAGATTACTCCGTACGCGACTTGCCGAGCACGCAGCAGCAGTGAGGCGGGGAGACGCTAAGTCTCAGGTGGCGGCACACTCGACGGGACCCGGCCATATTTTCAGATTTCAAGAGGCCGAAATCCTCGCAAGAGGTGACAACCGCGTGATCCGCGAGCTGCTCGAGTCATGGTTCTCAGGCCCGCAATCCATCAACAAACACAATGACCTCCCGGTGCCCTATTCCGTATTGCGATTTTCCCTGGGCAGGAGAATCAGTCACGTGGGGAGGGCGCGGGTGAGCAATTATCACGGTGACAGTGAGCCAGTTTGCCGAGCAATCGTCACACCAGCATCGAGCACGGATGACGAAATCGCGGCAATTAACAAGTCGGACTCGGACCGCCAAGCCACCGCCGCATCAATTACGACCCCAGCGGCGAATGTGAGAACTGTTAATTGCAGTGCGCATACAGTCCTACGGCAGCCACGTGCTATAAATACTGCACTCCTGGTGCCACATTCACCTCTATCTGCGAATGTCTCTGATGATGGATTCGAGTGAGAATCCGAAACGTCAGGCAAATAAACTTCTTGTCCCCGTGATCGCATCTTCATCTTCTGAACTGCTACCTGGGACTCGCCTGTTCGCTTCTATCAGCGATAGTGAGACGGTCTATCTTCGCATCTAATTGTTTGTCCAAACCGCATATAATTTGCACATACCTGAAAAAAAGATGCGGTTATAGATTCTGTTGTTTTCTTATGCTTAATTTTTCAGGATGCTTCTTTTTCGAAGTAGTAATCTTCCCGTTTATGAAGCTTTTTCTTTTTGCCCATATAAACAACCCTTCGAAGAGTGAAGCCAAACTCATGTGGACGGAACAACGGCACAACCTAAGAAATCGCTTGTTTTCGTTCTTAGAACATCTTCTTAATAATGTTACTTCCGTTATAAGTTTAGAGAGGACTAGTTTGGACCGAGTCACCTGTTAAAATCCCCAACGTTTGATCCCATCAATACGTCTTCCTTGACTGTGCCATAGTCCCGTCCAACCTAGAAATCCTTTCAAGATCTTAAACGGCTCATCGTTCATTGTTTTACTCTTGGTCTTTAGTATGGGGCATTTGCGTAGCTTACACTAAAATGTGAACAAAACATCCATTCTGGTAGCTAAACAATGCAAATTTTCCTGGTGCATACTGCTGAATAAAGATTGACATAAAACTAACATATGAGCACATCGGAACTTATCTGTATGTAGTTTGGTCGTTGTTACCAACGATACCGACGACGGCAGAGTGATCACAGGGAAGGTGGCTTGCGCGTGAATTATAATGGTGACGGGCTTGCGTACCATCTGTCGCACTCCCTCCTGGGCAGGATGTCAGAATAAAGTCGACATCACCGGAGGTCGGGTCAGGCTCAGATGATTGGCGTGTCGCGAGTACACATCCAGGTGTGCCACCACAGTCCGCATTTATGCCACTTGTTGTGGGTGCGCAGTCCAAACCCGTGCCCCGTAAACTGCTCGGCCCCCCGGGTCGATCCTGCGCAAATACCATGCGACCCAGTATGGGGG